AATCAGTGTCAAAAGGTCTTGAAACAATATTATCGTTTATCGCAATAATTTTTTAGACAATCGCACAGCAAAATGTGTTATCTTGACAGGCCTAGTGACGACTAAGATGTTAAACTCAAACTGAGATGTGTTAAAAACAATTTGCTTTTCTTCACATCTAACCAGGCCTGGAAAATTATAAACACAAAAGCTGATACTTTTCCACACTTTTCAACTGGAAACCTGTTGGTACTGTGAGTCTTTTTAACAAATACTTCTTTTTCACGTTAGTTGGCACAGATTTGCAGGTGGAGAGTGGTTCCTATTTGACTTACCAACCGTATAAATACTGGCATCAGTCAGCTTATTAATGGTGGCCTCTTGGTAAACGCCGTCCTGATTCTTCACTTCAACAACAGCACCCACCTGTTCCACAGACACACAGCTGTTATTACTGTGCTCCAAATCATAATTATTACCTGATCATAAATCTAATGGCATGTTATTTGTACATAGTGAGACAATAACACAGAAAGGAATAGAAACTAAAGTGACTGAGATCAAATTAAAATGCTAATGTTCACAGTCTGCGGATTTTTAAAAGGGGGTAGGGTGTTTAGGAGAAGTGAAGGAGTAAATCTACGATAAAATGGGTTTAATAATAAACATTGAAGACAAAAAAAGAAAAATAAATCACTAGTTTTGCTCATATTTCAAGCTTCACCTTCAGAGGTCCTTTGATGTTTTCATCGTGGACCTCAGCTGTAGACAGATCAGGCTTAAAGGTCACCTGGGGGAAGCAGGAGGCAAAAAGAGAATTAGTAATGAGAATAATTACCTGGCCAGGTTATTTTACAATCTGTGAATGAAGTGTAGGCGTCTGCTTTGTGAAGGGGAATATTAGGGGAACACTGACCAGAACCACCCCCCTCCTAAACCCATTCCTCCCTCCTTAGGTCTGTCCACTGCCCTAAATGAGCCACAGTGGTAATACCACTCTCTAAGTGAGCTAGCGGAGTCGCTGTGCGGCAGAAAAGAAAAGGCCGGCGACACTGACTTGCTAAGATAAAAACTAAAAAATTAGTTTTTATCTTAATTTCTACTGTTATCACAATAATACTGCAAAAATATTGCAATGAAATTTGATGCACAGCCCTAACTGTAATTGCAACAGAGCTAAATATTAAAAAGTTTAACTATTACAAGGCCCTATGTCTACACTGACTTATTTTATGTGTGGAATGTGTTAACAGTAGCCAGAAACAAAGGCTGCTGTGGAAAAATCACCTGTACATGTGATTTTTCCAAGAAGATCTTAAAAATACATTTTTCTGACAATGTGCACATAAAATGACAAAATTATTTTGACGGTCTAATTAAATTAACTTTTATAAAAATCCAACTCAATTTAGAATCAATGGCACGTGCGAGGCAGTGAACAAAATGTTAAATAGCCGCCATCAGGCAGAACTCCAGCAGGTAACAGCTTCAGGCAATGACATGGAGTCAGTTTCAAATAAACCAGCAGCACACAAAAAAGCGATCAAAATTTCACTGTGAAGGCAGAATCAAGGCAAAGAAATATGTACTAAATTGTAAGGTCAAGAAAAAATAAGACAGGAAAAGAAATGTAACAAAAGCTTACTGAGGGAGTAGTTCCAAGAAAATGACATTTTAAAAATAAAGAAATTCCTTTTTTAACAGGGAGCCGTGGGATGCTTTTCACTCTAAAGGCAAAGAGAAGGAGCTGTGGTCCAAAGCCGCAGCTAGACAACATCAATAACACCTCACCACACTGACAAATCTAACAGTATGGTGGTTGATGCAGAGGGAGCTGAGCAGCCACTTAAACCCCATAAAAACATAGCATTAGTTCAGAAAGCATATCGCATGAAAAACATTCATTCCTGCCTCGCTTTTATCACAGCCCAAACTTACTCCAGGTGTTTTCCTTGTTCCCTGATTTCCATGATTTTCTTTTGTATCCTGTAATTTGATGCAACAGGTAGTCTATATCAATATTAGTGAATTGGTCATTTTTTAAGAAGCAGCCACTGATTTTGTCTGGATGAATCATCACACGGAGGAGAGACTCATATAGCACAACATAAAGGTTTAATACATATACTAATGCCTTCATTTAATGCTTCTTCTTGATGAAATTAGAGTTCCCAGTCCTTAAGACAGAGAGAGAAAGCTTTATAACATGGCAATTTTTCAACAGAAATTAAATTTTCATGCTATAATAAACATTCTGAGAAAGTTACTATGATTTTCTGAATGTTTTAATTTATAGTTTTTAAAGAGTATCTGGCTTGGCAGGTCAGGCTCAGGATCAGGAAGCTTTATTTGCCCTTCACACATGTATTGATGGTTCAAGCACATGCAAATTTTTGTGCAGCACCCAAAGGCCGAAATAATCATAAAATAATTTTTAATCGATGGTTAGAGATATAAAAAAGGGTCAACTCAGAAGAGTTGAATAGGCCACTCCCACCAGAGCCGCCAATCAGTTTGTTCATATTGGATCGTACAGATTAGCATGACAGAAATGCCATAAGATAATATAATTTCATAATTACAATAAGAATATTTTGATATTTTGTTGTTGATTGTTTCAAATGTATTATTTAAAAATGGGTTATCACATATAGATTAACAATTACATGTAAACAGCCAAGTGGCTAATTTCCATCTTTACTTCAAAAAAGTAGAAAAGGGCATAATTAAGCAGTTGTTTGCAATTTGTAGTCTATAATGGTTCCATATTTTTGACATCAAGTTGAATAGTGTAATAGCATAATAGAGCTAAAAATATACTGCTCAAAAAATAAGGGGAACACTCAAATAACACATCCTAGATCTGAATGAATGAAATATTCTCATTGAATACTTTGTTCTGTACAAAGTTGAATGTGCTGACAACAAAATCACACAAAAATCATCAATGGAAATCAAATTTATTAACCAATGGAGGCCTGGATTTGGAGCCACCCACAAAATTAAAGCGAAATTTTCCCTTTATTTTTTTGAGTAGTATAGTTTTATACAGCCAAGTTTTAAGCTAAACAGGCTAATTGTGCGACAAGAAAAATTAGATCTGGTCCTACGCCACTGTAGCAAACAAATCTAATGCGTGATTATTGCATGCTAAACAGATTCATGTGTTTTTTGTTTGGCCCACTGTTCATTGTAATCTAAGACTGCAGTAGTATTTAGATAAAAATTGCTATTCAATGTACTTCTACAGTTCGGGGGGAAAAAAAGAAATAAAGAAAAAAAATCTAGACACGTCCCTGCTCACGTCAGGTAACAGGCAGGATACAATAAAACAAAAAAAAAAACCAGAAAGTAAAGAAATAGTAGCCTGAAGGCAGGAAAGATGAAAAGCAAATGACACTGTTGACAACAAGGACCTAAACGGTTCCGTTAACTGGCGGTATTTTGGCTACTTAAAGTCGGACAAAACAACATGTAGCACGAATGTTGGGAAGAAGTCAGGGAATAACACCAATCTGTTTAACCACCTGAACCAGTGACACCTGCTGGAACACGCAGAATGTAAAACTTCACAATCCCAGATGGGAACAAGTGTTAAACCCCCTGAGAAAACATGGACTGTGCAGAGCAATATCTGATCCAGCACAGACTGACAGCACTGAGGCAGAACTCCCCTAACTGGAATTTGATTTTTTTTTTTTTCAGAGCAAAGACAATGTCTATTTTATATAAGTTTTGTTGCTGAAGTTTACACTGAGGATATAAACTGAAATTGTATTTATTTTGAATTCATTGTTTTTTTTTTCATGGCTTATTCTTTAAAAAAAATAAATAAATAAAAAAAATTCTATATTTAAAAGGAGCTACAGAAAAGAGTTTGAGAATTTATATTCCAATCCCTATTTTATTTATTTGACTTCAGTTAAAAAAAAAGTGTCCATTTTTGTTAAGTTTTTCTGTAACACTTGAAGATTTTAGCTTTTAATATAATTAGGCCTGTCACAATGACAAATTTTTCTGGACGATAAATTGTTCCAGACGTTATTGCGATAAATGATAATATTGTTGTTTTGAGACAATTTTTTAAATAATGTAATTGTAATGACAAAATAAAAAACACATTATCAAAGATCAGTAAACTTTAAACTAACAGTGGAACTGGAAGACATTTTGAAAATATCCAAAATAAATAAACATCGACAAATTTTGAAATCTTTGTAAACAAAATGCCCCTTCAATAAAAGGGCTAGTTGAGACCAAACTGAAGACCTTCATGATCCAGTTTTTGGTAGAAAGAGAGAAAATCAGGTCAATGAAAATTATTGAGTTTATTTTAAATTATCAAGCGATTAATTGATTTATTGATCATTGTGACAGGCCTAAATATACCTCATATTTTTCAATGGAAACTGCATAATATTCAATGACATGTTCAACTTTTAAAAATAAAACTTTCATATAAAAAATAACCTGATCTGTTATAATCTAACAGTATCATGGAACATTAAACAAAATTAGTGATTTGTTTTATATCATGATATATATGAATACCAATATTAAACATTTTATTGTGATTTTTTTTTTCCACATTGCCCTGCTCTACATTCAAACCTCAATAACTGTAATTAAAACGTAAATAAAAATCTTTCACAAAATCAGTAAAAACTAAATTCATGAATATACAACATGTCTCTACACAATTGTCAGTATTTGTTGGACTGGTTCTCACGCATAATAGATCTCTGAGGCATTAATTGCCTTCTTACAGGTCCTCTAGCACAGATTGCACTATACAGAGCGAGACTCATTCACATCATTTCACCTTGTCTCGTAAAACAACAGTTACGCTGTAGTTACTGACTTAGCTGAACAAGCAGACAAAAATTAATGAAGCACAGTCAGTAAATAAGGTGAAGAAGACTCCATTACAGTAGAATATTCACAGTAAAGCCAACCACCGAATAATAGTCATGTTTCAACATTTGCGCAACAAAGCTCATGCTCTCATTAGAGCTTCCCCAAAACAAACCTGACACTGAGCCAATTAGTATGGTAATGAATTTACTAGCCGAGGCTGCACTGCTTGCTTCTTCTTAGCCAACATCATCTACACTAAGAAAATCTTGCGGTCTGCTTCGTCACGGGTGTTTGATCCTGTGAATGGGAGCGAAACAGCAAGTCATTGATGATTTAAGTCGGTGAGGCAGAGAAGCAGGATGTCGTCGCTCCTTTGTTTCTACAGGGGGAACCACAGTGAACCGACTCGGTGAAAGAGCCAGCAGCCAATCTTTGTTCCTCCCACACACTCCGGCGTAACGAAAGATGGGTCTCTATTGCATTATCCAGATGCTCCTGCCCCACTGGGAAACCAGAGACAGTACTATTTGTATCATGAAATGCCTTCATAGGAAAGATGTAAAATCGAAGGAAGGGGATTGGAAGGCGGCAGCTGTTCTGTTTACCACAAAGTGCACAGAAGCTGCGGATAAGAGGGGAACCGGAGGTAGTGAGTGGGCACTGATCGCAGCTGGGATCCTGATCACTCTTTCAGCCACATACAAGCAGTACAAACAACACGAACCAGGTGGTGGAGCTCCTGCAAGCAACACAGCTGGACTTCTTCCAATGAAGTAATTAAAATGTGCATCTAATCATAAGAGTATAAATGTGGCAGACTCTAATACCACTTGCACAGTCTAATCATCTCAACAAGCCGATCTTTAAAGGAGGGCTTTGAATGTGTCCAACTCGCCATCGGCTTTAGATCTACAGAGCTGTTTTATCTCCACTGTAGCCACTCCAAACAAAGACTTGCACTTCCAAGCCAACAGCAGCCGAGACAGACAATTAATTTTTAATTTCGCCACATGAGCATTCTGAATCACGACTTACCTTGGCCTTGACAAGCCTCTTGGCGGTCTTAATCTTGGCTTCGCAGAAAGCCCCTCTGTACTTTGCGCTCACATCCGTCCCTACCGTCAGGTAGGGGGGCTCCTCTAGAGTCTGTGGAAATTAAAGCAAACTCGGTTAATCGATATGTAGCTTACTGGCACAAGTGCATTCTCCGAGCCAAGGCTGGTGTTTTACGCAGCGTAGGCCGGCATTGTGAAAAACCCACCAAGCTCAGGGTTTCATCCATGGAAAACACATACCATCTGCTGTGGGTATTGGAAAACAAGCCTCTGAGGAAGCAAACAAAAAATGCCACTTCACTGTGGCTTTCATTATTACAAAGACGAAGCTACTCCAAACACGCAACACCATTTTGTGTCGTTATTGGATGTTTATCAAGCCTTTCCCCCCCCTCCACTCAGATGCAGATTTGGAGAGAGCAGGGTGTGTGTGAATAGAGGAAGGGAATGTTTCTCATTTAGAAAATGTGGTGAGAGATTTATTAGGAGTGTTTCAACAAAATAAATGAGATAAAAGCACCAATAACAATGGTATTAGGCAGGGATCTTCATAAAAAGTTTGAAAAAAATGCCCACAATGTCGATTATATGATTTCTGCAGCTTAAACTCCTTTTAATGAGATTCTTAAGAAAGTAAAGTTTCCTCCTCTGGTGAGCTCCTCCCCCACTTGTTGCTGCCGGTCGTGAAAAACACAGACAGTCACGGCATGGAAAGGAAAGGAGTGCCACATATCGTCCTTGAAAACAAAAAAAACTAGGGGTGCACTGATCGATCAGCCCCAATTTCCTTAATTTTAGGTGAAATGCAATCTTGCCAATGCTTGCGTGTGAAACCAATCTTATTTACATTTAAATAGCTACAAAGCTGCTGCGTGTCAGTATTTTCTTTGTGCACGACAAGGAAACTAAAACTCTGAACACTTTATTGGTGGATTAACTTGTTTTGTTAGTTTTCCTCAACCAACCTCAAAACTTTGTGAAAGTAATGCAGTGCACTTTTGGGGCAAGAGGCTCAAAACAGGTCTGTAGTCTAACCTGTTGTGCAACTTTTGCTTGTTTTCAAAATGTGAAAAGTGAAAGATTAGGGGAACTTTTTTTCAGTTTAGTTTATTAAATTTAGTAGTTTGGACAGCAATGCTCCAAACCTTTTATTTACACTTGAGAACATTACCTCATGTGCAGCTAAAACATGTTTGTATTGTTTCACAAGTATTGTTCAGTGTTTTCCAATAAAATAAGATTGGAACACTGAAGGTAAATTGTATAACACCTGAATGTCAGTTACAAGAAATAAATCGATATTAGTATTGGCATGTCAGTTTTTTTGTAGACCAGAGTGGCTAGAAAACTGCTATTGATAAACGGTGTTTTTTATTTAATTTTTTTTTTTTTTTTACAATTTTTATACTTCTGAATTTATTTAGCAAAAAAGATTAATCTAAAAACAGTACAATGCAAACAATTTGTGAAAGTTACAGTTTTTGTAAAGCTCTTGTTTGCACGTGTTTCTTAAAGAAATAATAAAACTAAGAATATGAACTTAAAATTTATAACATCAGTATTACTTTGTCTAGAATAACCTGCTTAAATTACTGATTACTATTAATGCTTGGGATCCGATGAGTTTCCTCTCCCCCAACTGAATCCTTCAGTCATCACATGGAAAGTAAAAGAGCGCCACCTATAGGAGCTTTAGATATAAATTTCACGTATTAGCAAATTAGTTTTCCCCCCACATTCTCCATGTTTCCAGTTTTACCTTCCCGACTTCCATGTTTTACAAAGCAGAGACACAGTTTCACCTAAAAAAATATCTAAACGTATGATTTCTACATAAAATTGTGTTGTATCTAAATCAAATATTTTCTTTTGTAAAGAAGTTTGATTATAAAAAAATAGCACTTCTGTTCCAAAGGAAATTAACGGTTTTCATAGCAAGTTTAATCAGTGTTACACAGTCAACAATAGTTTAATTGGATTCAACCTAACTCACCCTCAAATAATCACTCATCTATTGTTGGAATGCTTTGCTTTGATTTTGTTTGATTACGCCCAAAATTGATCCTCCCCTGAGTTTCTGGAGTCTTTCTTCCTCTAACTCAGATTTAAATGGTTTTATACAAAGTTCCCATAAGATTGTAACAACTCATCACATAGATACACACTTTTGTCAAAAAAAACAAACAAACATGAGGTGTAACTCGGCTTAGTCAATATACAGAGTTGCACATAAAATGGGTGTTGGACCCATTTTCTCCCTGTAGCTTACTACAGGGAGAAACACACCAGTGATTTTTCAGTGTTGTTCTGTGTTCAAGCATCACTACTAATGAAGGAATTACCCTTGGCTAAAGTCCAATGAACAGCTTCATCTTAACCGTGACCCTTTCCGTTTGTGTTACTGCCAAGGAATGATGTGTGTGACACAGTTGCTCCAGTGTGCTTTAGCTGTAATTCCATTAAAAACACACTCATAAGCACAGTCATAAAAATGTGTAAAGCAGCAGACTCCAGTCTCTACCCAAGCACATACAGTTAAGCCGAAAATTACGGAAAAATAAATGATTTCCATTCAATCAGCAAATCTGTTTCTGATCGGAAATGGAACAGGAACCTCTTTTGAGATAATAAAATGATGTGTAATGAGATCAGAGTTTTGAAAAAAATTGTGTTATTTATGTTAAGAAAAAAAAAAGTTACTTCAAAAACTACAAAGCTTTTTTGCATTACAGCAACCCAACCTTTCCTGATCAGTTTTTTTTCCCCACAGGTATTTTGTCTCCTGGCCATCATCCTAATCTTTAGCTGCCCCCATAAATTTAAGTTGGGACACTTCAAAATGCTAAAATTACTTTTAAACGGAACAAAAAGGCTGGCAAAATAAAAAGGATAACTTTAACTTGAATCATCCACAGGTATGTGTTATTTTGAGCTTGCCTGTAAACGGACTGACTGGATGTTCTTGTGTAATTTAATACAGAGCAGAGGAGAAAGATTGGAGCATAATCTGCGCCATTAAAACCTAAAAAGTTTCAAGAAAAGTTTTAGATTTATTTCTGAAAAAGAAAAACTGGAAACAAATGGCAAAACAACATTATCATAACATTAACAATAGATAAGCTTTAATTTGCAGCTGTACAAGTTTAGATTTTTTTTTTTTGTTAAAAGATTATCAATTTATAATGTTGGATTACTGGTCCAATATTATATCAAAGGACAATCAAATACATTTATTTTATGGTTAGAAAAGTTAATATGTGATTAAATCAATCAATCAAATTTTATTTGTATATCACATTTCAGCAGCAACACATTTCAAAGTGCTTCACATAATTAAAATAAAAACAGCATGTGACATTGAATAAACAGTGAGAAAGAGACATTTTGAAAAAGATTAAAAAAGATAAAAACATTAAAACCAGCACCCCTTTTAGGACTTCAGTTAAACGTCGTTTAACTGGGGCTCTAACCCTCTGGGACTTTAGTCAAAAACACCGCTTGACAAGGACTCCAACCTCTAGGTTTTTAGTTGAAACGCCGTCAACTGGGACTCTAAACCCTGAAGGACTTTAGATAAACGTCATTTAACAAGGATTCTCACACCCCTAGATATAGATTCGTTGAACTGGGACGTTTTCCGGGGGGCTTTACATAGACAGTGTGAAAGAGAAATAAAAAGAAGTTAATAACTAGATGAAAAGTAAAGATAAAAACATTAAAAACATCAAAGACATCAAAATCTCTAATCCTAATTTAGCCATAAGCAACTCTAAACAGGTGGGTTAAAGTTAAGATTTAAAGGCACTCAGTGTTTCAGCTGTTTTACAG